CGGGTTCCCCCATCCCCGTCCGCCTGGATCTGCTGCCCGGCTCGGCGGCCGCGCGGGGGGAAGCTTGCAAGTGAAACTATTATTATCGCCCTGCAAAGCATGGAGCTCTTGGAAGATGCGGCGTAGAGACGGAAGGAGCCGCCGCCTGCAGCCGCCTGCCGCTGCGCCCCTACCCTTTCGCTTTCATTAGGGGAGACAAATCTGCTGTCAGGCAGCCAGCTTTCCAATTTACCGATAATGATTCCTGCATGAAAATTGATCGAGGGGCTCTCCACGGCCGTGCGCTCTCGCTGCCCGCTCTCCAGCCTTCTTCTGCCCCGGCGCCCGAGCCCCCGCGAGTTCTTTCTCCTCCTGCCCCACCCCCTCTCTGAGTCAGTGGTGGGACGCCGGGCCAGGGAGATAACCCAAAAAGGGGGGTGGGGAGAGGGGGAGGGGAGCCGGCCCCACGGCCTGCTTTCTCCTGCCCCAGACTTGTTTGCAATCGCTGCCTCTTTTATTTACGAGAAGAAATCTCCCCCTCGGTACTTCAGGGCTGTTTGGGTATTAATTTTCTCTTCTCCCCTCTCCCGCTCGCCCCCTCCTCCTCTCCTTTTTTCCTACCCGCCCCGCATCACCCAGTAGCTAAGGGGAAACGAAAACAAAGCCGATTTCTCCTTGGCAACAAGAGATACCCCCTCCCACCCCCCTTCCTTTTCCCTTCTGGTTCTGAACGTGAAACCCTGTTGGAAACAGGTCTCTTGACCTCGCCCTTGACATTCAAATGGCTGAATGGAGGAGAGATTGCTACTCGCACGTCTTGGGGGCTTTTTCCCCTCTCTCCCCCCTCTTTCTTTCAAATGAGTAATCCCTGAAGATCCTAACCCCCCAGTCTCATCACCCTCACCCCCCCCTTCCTGAGGCTCCTCTGCGCTCTCCTGCCTGTTCCCTCCGCTGCTCCCCCTCCCTTTTTATTTGCATGTCAAGTCCAAAAGGCAGAAAATACACACGCGGCGGAGAGCCCGGCGGCCGCGGAGGCTCCGGCCCGTCCTTGGTCGTCAGTTACCTCGTCGTGGATCTGCCCAGGGCCAAGGGGGCCGAAACTGCCGGGCGCCGGCCGGAGAGAGCCTTTTGATCAGCTTAAGGGGCGGGGGAAAAAAAGGACCGAATTTTTCTTTCCCGTCGCTCTCAGGATCGCTCTTCTGCCTTTATTTTATTGTTTTGGACATTTCCGAGCGCCGTGGATTGGACGGTGCTTTTTGTTTCATCGCTGGGTTTTAATATTTTTTCCTCCTTCACCCCTCTCTGGCCACTATGGAATTCTAATTTGAACCATGTTTGGATTGAAGCCGCCTCTGTATTACTTACCAGGTGAGCGAGCCGCGCGCCTCCCCGGGTCCCGCGCGGCGCCGGCGCGCCCCGACCCTCCCGCGTCGGACACCCCCAGGTCCCCTAGCGCAGG